ATGAAGGGTGGGATAAACAAACAGGGTCTAACTTAGAGGAAGGCAGGTGAAAGGTCTGACCCATGGAAAATCTCACCAGACACAAAATCACAGCACACAAATCCAGAAAACTGAACTGTGCTTCATGTACATTTATATGGTTAATTTAAAAAGCACTTTCAACTTAAGGAAAGATACACAGTCCAACTGCCCAACATAAAACGGTGCCGATCAAATGTAAAATAAAGTGTTTGATGGTGTGCCTTAAATACCACTGAGCCCGTGCAAGTCATAATACAAACACACAGAGAGGAAATTATTGCTATTATTTACTCCGCTGTTTTGTACAGTTGCCAAGGAAACCGGAAGTGCCAATTTTGTTATTTGGTTGGTGCTTCATTTCTTTTCTTTTTTTAAGCAGAGGGAAGAACATTTTTTGACAGTTTCCCAGAAATATAGGAATAGAACACTGTTAAATACCACACACATACATACCTCTATCTCTATATAGATAGATAGATAGACAGACAGACAGAAAGACAGACATGGTATTTAACAGTATTCTATTTCTATACAATTAAGATGTGCCAAGTAGTTTAGATAGATATTTCAGATAGCCAACTTAGTCCAAAGCAAAAGCCAGACCCCAAAACCATGCAATGGCCAACTAAAATAACATGGGCCCTGGTCACATGGAGCATTAGCCACACTAGAGGGACGGAAGATAGGCGAATTTTCCGGGCGCGATCTCACCGCCACATCTGGGAAGCATAGAGCTCCTGTGGCTCACCCGAGGCTTCCCGCCAAAGATGCAGGGTAAAAAACTAGTACCTCGGAGGTACTAGTTTCCGGAAACCGTGGGGCAAGGGCGGGCATCTGATCGCGTTTCCGGTGGCAGTTCCGGCGCCCGCCCATGTCCCCTCGCAAATAGGGGTTTTTTTCCAAGTCTCCATGGGATGTGCACAAGCACCCAACGGAGCATGCGCACATTTCAGTTTTAAAAAACAAACACAACCCCCGTTTGCCGCGCCGCTCCGTTTCTTTGCTGCGTCGTGTGATCCGCACCTCCCCCCTAACCAAGGGAGCTCAATGGGACCTCCTCAACCCAACGCCTGATCATGCAGTCGCGCGTTAATGTGCTCCGGGGCAAACAGCCACGCCTCCCCCCCCCCGCATTTTCCTGCCCGTGTGACCGAGGCCATGATACAGTTTCAAGTTCTCCAAGACTCTTCATGCAAAAGAAGGCAGTCGGGGGAGAGAGAAAATGTTTCAAGCCTTGATCTGGGGTCTTTTTGTCTACCTCCTGGACAGAATACCAGGGCAGCTTCAAGTACATTACCTGGCACTAGGTAGAGCTGGTACAAAGGAGGGGAATTGTAGCCACCAGTAAAAGGTGCGACTTGATACCAGCTTCACTTAACATCATGAAGACTGTATGCAGGATGCCAAAAGGCAGCCTTCAAACATTTCCCTCCGCTTTTCTGACAACCACCTTGGCTGATTTTGGAAGAATTTGAAAGCTGCATGCTGTTTTGTGTTCTTGTGGTTTGTCTCTATAAAATAAGCAATTGTGTGACCTTTACTGAAGCAGGTCAGATTATTTCAGTTGAAGATGACTTTGCTACAGGTGATTTCCAGTAGCTCTTGTTGAGAGGAACAGAAAATTAAGGGACAAAAGAGACAAAACTGGCAACCTCCATCGCGTATTAGTGCAGGAAATGTGGAACCAGTGCGCGGGTCCCTTCTCCCCTCCTGCCGTCAGAGTTTCCCACGACTCATTAAGTTTGGTTTGGTTATTTGAGGCTCGGAGACAAAGCAGAGGCCACAAGGCTCTTGCATCAACAAAACCCGTCTTCCTTCCACTGATGCAGCACTCTCTCTACCCAAAGCAACATGTGAGCAAATAATCCTTAACATCTTAACATCAGAGTGCATTTCTCTCGACGAACAACTGAGCTTATGGAATTCTCTGCAAAGCAGTCCTCCTCCTCTCACACTGGAAGCAGCCAAACTCGGTTATGGAAGAGCTGGGTTCGAATCCAGCAGCACCTCAGAGACCAGCAAGATGCTGGGGGGGGGGGGTAAGAAAGAGCCACGAGAACTAAGCACTGAGGCAACCCTCCCTCTCACAATTTGCCTCAGTTTACAGAATCCACATTGCTGTCAGATGGCCATCTAGCCTCTGTTTGAAAACCTCCAAAGGAGGAGAGCCCACCGCCTCTCGGGGAAGCCTGTTCCACTGAAGAACGCCTCTAACTGTCAGGAAGTTCTTCCTAATGTTTACCAAAAACTCTTCTGATTTAATTTCAAACCATTGGTTCTGGTCTGACCTTCTGGAGCAACAGAAAACAACTCCGCACCATCCTCTCTATGACAGCCCTTCAAGTACTTGGAGATGGTTATCATATCAACTCTCAGTCATCTCCTCTCCAGGCTAAGCATACCCAGTTCTTCCTAATGTTTACCAAAAACTCTTCTGATTTAATTTCAAACCATTGGTTCTGGTCTGACCTTCTGGAGCAACAGAAAACAACTCCGCACCATCCTCTCTATGACAGCCCTTCAAGTACTTGGAGATGGTTATCATATCACCTCTCAGTCGTCTCCACTCCAGGCTAAACATACCCAGCTCCTTCAACCTTTCCTCGTAGGACTTGGTCTCCAGACCCCTCCCCATCTTCATTGCCCTCCTCTGGACACATTCCAGCTTGTCTATATCCTTCTTAAATTGTGGTGCCCAAAACTGAACACAATACTCTAGGTGAGGGCTAACCAGAGCAGAGTAAAGCGATACCATCATTTCGCGTATTTACAACAAAACTTTGTTAAAACAATTAAATCAAATGAAACAAACCAACGATATGAAACAATAACAGCAGGAGCCAGAGATAAAACACTGAGGTAAATTAAAAGCCATAAAACCAATGTGAGAAACTATGCTTGCGCATCTAATGAAGCTGAAAGAAAGAGGAAAACTGTTGAGAACTGCAACAGCAGAAAACACCTAGGGACCCTACGCTCACTAAAACTAATCACAGTGATTATAAGAAAGGATTCAAAGACTTAAAATGTCTTCACTTGAGGCCTGTTAGCTGGTAAATCTGGGAGAAGACTTGGAGAGTTCCACGGCCTCAGCAAACACCCTGCAGAAGGCCCAGGTCTCTGGTGTTCGCTCATCGGGGTCTTCTTGACAGGGGAGGTAGACGGGGGGGGGGGTTGAAAGACGACCTGGACTAGAAGGGAAGGTTTGTGCAGGAGGCAGTCAACCTCCGGAGTCTGTGGTCCAAGAATGTGTTGAGTTTTTCCTGCTTTCACCTGGATTTCTTGCCCTTGGTTCCACTGGTCTTCTCTGCGTCCCCTCCCTATCAGAGGGGTCTTAGGTAAGTCAGCCACTTGTGGCTTATATTTTTACATTTTCACCCTTCCTGTAAGCCAAATAATGGAGTGCCCTAATTTTCTTTTCTAGCAACTAGAGCTCCCTCCAACTATTAGTCCACGGTTAAGAGCCGATAAGGTCCTTGGGTGAGAAGATCACTTAAGCATCAATGATCGTTCCTTGTTTATTACTCTTGGGATCCCAGAGGGGGTGACTCCAGTTGTTCAGCACCCGTTCCCTTTGTGTGGGTTTATTCGCTTTTCTCTTTACAGCAGGTTGACCGGGGTTGTTCTTTCCTTTTGTTTCCACTTGGGCGGGTACATTTTCAAACCATCTGTATGACACCACATAGAGCAATTCACGTTGCCCAAACCATTACTGCTATATTAATCTGGCTTTGCCTGACGAACATAAAACCAATTTCTAACATAACATTTAGACTCGCGAATGAATGTGAGTGTGTGGCATGAGAACGATTGAGGTTACGTCCTTCAGGGCCACAAACAAGCCCTCCGGGATGTCACCCCTATAGCTGTGGGTACCGCCGGCCGGTCATTCAAGGAGTCATCCCCTGGAGCTGCAGAGGAGGTGCCCGTTACTGCTGCATGGACCGGCCACCAGAAGACTACTGACAAGTTCATTGGCCCCACAGAACGGAAGATGTTTCATGGGCACATTTATCATCTGAGACTTGCCCTCATAACCTGAACTGCTCTGCAAAATTAGCTTAAGAGCACAGTCTGCATGTCCAAGTTGCCTAGCTCTCCCGAGACTGTTCCGCGTCAAGATGCAGGTGTGGATAGGCTGCAGGTGTGTTTCTCCCCGCTGTGTGCCTTCCCTTTCAGAGATCAGCGGCACAAGGACCAGGGGAAGGGGACTTGTCTGTGACAGAATGCTAGCTATGGCGTGCCCCCCCCCCCCGCTCCAGCACGACATGATCATGTTTTAAGCACCAGGTAAACAGTATCACGTTCCTCATGACTTCTGTCACTGATATTTTATTGCACTACGCCTTTCTCTGTTTATTGCTTTAACTTAAGTTGTCACTGATGTCATCTTCTTTGCATTACAACCTTGAAAGTCACCTTCAGGAAAGGCAAAGTAGACATTTTTAAACACAGACTCATTAATTTAATATTGGGCCATTTTGACAAGGGATTGCCAGTGGTTGTTTTTTTAAACAGGAGCTACCAGTGAGCTTTTGTGTCTGTTCTGAATCCGTTTGGCAGTTCCAGGACCTGATCTCCCCCCCCCCCCAATCAACACAGGGAAATCCTTTGTGCTACAAAGACACAGCAGCGTATACACCAAGAGGCTCGAAGACAAAGCTCACACCAAAATGGGTGGGGGGTCGCTAGAAACAATCGTGTTGGGACCAGTGTTCCCTCTAAGCTGCGTTAGTGTGAGCCAGAACACAGTTTTTTACCCTCCAGCTCACACATTTTCGTCTCAGCTCAGGAAGGAGGGCTCCAGAGCTAACTAATTTACGCAGTAGCCAAATCGCTGGCTCACAACTTTAATGCCAGGAGCTCATAAAGTAGAATTTTTGCCCCCAAGACTCCGCAGCTTAGAGGGGGAGGCCTGGGCTGGGGCCACAGTGGGATGCGCACGCCAACGTGACACATGACAAGATGTTGTTGCTTACCCTGGCAGAAGGCAGGTTGCACGCTTCCAGCGCTGTCTCGACACGCTTTCTGTCCGCGGAGAACAGGCGATAAATGCTGCCAGGTGGGAAATGGACAAAAAGGAATGAAGGCAGGGCACATGCTCTCAGTTAAAATCTGCTTCTGGGCACAGTTCTGGCCCCCGACCTTGGCCCTGACGTCAAGAATAGCCTGGCGCCAGAGCATTGGTAGGAGTGCCCACGGGAACGTGCCCCCCCCCTGCCGTGTTCTGGGCAGTTCCACGGTCTTCTCAGTGCCGGCGCCAACTCTAGGAAACTCACTCTCTCTGGGTGACCACCTGCTGGCACCCACCCTCCTCTCCGCTTGGCAGCAAGTTGTGATGATGCTGTCGGGTCAAACATTTCTAAAGAGACGTTACTCTGGTGGCGTCTTATCGTCATTTTTATTTATTGCATTTTTATTGTTTTATGCTGTTTTTGTTAGTCTTACGTGTGCACGGAACAGACGTGATGTGGGAAGGGAATGTCTGCAGAGGCTTTCCTTGTCCTCCCCATTCAGCACCTCTCCTGCCTTCCCAGTTGGGAGGTAAAGCTCCCTTCCCGACTAGACGGAACGGGCCAGGAGATCCTCACGCCACTGACATCGGCACTGCCGCGGTGTTGGCACTGGCCACAGACATAGACTGCATCTTCCATAGGAATGGGGACCCTGCGGTACTCTTGGGCTGGCCAGCAAAGTGCATCTCCAGACACAGCCAGTCCATGGGGGGAAAGCCCCACTGAATGAGGCTTTAAGAACACAAGAGACGCCCATGCTGGACCAGGCCCATGGCCCCTCCAGTCCAGCACTCTGTGTCACACTCTGGCCAGAAATACCAGGTGCCACCAGGAGGTCCACCGGTGGGACCAGTGGGGCTTTGTTCTTATCCAGGGTGCAGAGTACACTCTGTGTCACTTTGTGACCCTGAAACAGAGACTTAGTTCACGCCAAGACTGTGAAGCTGTGTGTGGGATGTACCAATTCACAGTGCAGTGGGGGGTTCACATACAACCCCTCCTCCCCAACTATAGGTACCGGCTGACTTGTGATGGCACATAACTCTGTTTCTCTTTTTACGTGCTATATGGAACAATATCACCACACCAGTCTGCAAATTACCAGAGTATGAAAAGCTTCCCCCAAAAGGCCAAAAAACAAAACACGGCATAACTTACCTCTTCAAAGGGATACGTCCCTCCGTTGTGACTTGCAGTTTGAGCTTCGTGTAACTAGAGAGAAGAACAACATGTTGATAAAAAAACAACAACCCTGGAACCACAAACGTTAACATTTGCTTTCCTTTTCCCACAGTGCTGACCAGACTGCGCTGCGCTGCCATTCAGAAGAAAAGAATAACTTCTCAAGCATCACAATTCCCCCCCCCCCAAAAAAAGAGAGCTAAATGCCTTGACTCCTCACGCAAGACTTATCTTTACTGGAAAAGTCAAGATAACTTGCCTGAGGCACCTCCCAAGTACAGATTTTGAGATTTCTCCTAAATCCCCTCCAGGAAATGATTCGAAGATGTCATTTTGCCCAGATGGGTTCACTTCTTTTGAATTCTTCCAGCTATGTCCAGGGCACATTAAAAACCCACCGTCTGAAACAGGATTCAGGTTAAGATAAGTCTGGAAGATCTAGCCGTTTCGAGTGAAGTTCTGCCGACACGCGTCAACACTATTGCTGACGCCCTTTAAATAGCCTCCCAGGCCTGGGGAATCCCCTTTCCCATGAGCAGTTCCCATGCGGCTGGGGAAACCAGCCGAATGACCCAGGCGGGGGTGGCCTGAGTTCAGAGGCCACGGGGGAACACTGGGGCGGGAGGATCCCCACGGACAAAGTTGGGTTCATGGACAGATGGCTCCCACACAGCCGAGATGTTGTGGAAAGGGCACCACTGACTGGGTGCACAGGGATGTACAACTTCAAACAATAACCAAGTGATAATTTTTTTGCTTCCTGGAAGAATGGAGCGTGCTAGTTCTTTATCTCCCTCGCCATGGTGCCTTGACATGACTGAAGCGATGAGGCTATCCTTTGTGATAGAAAAGCATACGGTGGAAGCTGCAGATAACCCCGTCTGCTAGCGAGAGAGAGCTCTGGAAGGAGGGAGGAGCCAGACTCACGGGCTGCGGACAGCTTCGTCCGGCAGATTGTCACCAGAAGGGCTGGTCCCCGTGCCTTGCTCTACACAGCTATGATCTGGATGAGCTTTGGTAAAAAGAGGCGGCCCGTTTCTAACACACTTCTTTCCCCAGCTCAGGAGCAAATGACAAGAGGAGAGTGAGCCAAGCAAAGGACTGGGGACCGGAGCAGGATTAGAAGAGTCGCGCAAAGAATCCTCGTAGGATTTAAAGCCTAAAACCCTAACCCCCCTGGAGAGCCCAGGTGCCCCTCCCTTGAGCATGGGGTCACGGCAGATACAGTGGGGGGGGGCCCTCGCCCATCTCTGAGCATTAAACATTAACTTTGACTTTGGGAAAGTTCGGAGTTATCGAGGGACTCCCTCTTTCTTGGGGGGGGGCTTGGGGTGGTGCTTTTTTGTTTGTTTATTTTGGTTCCAGGATTTTCTCGTCGGCACTCTTCCTAGCTTTGTTGCAGAGCCCTCGGGGTCAACACATTGTCCCGGCAAACGACACCAGGAGAGATTTAATGTCTCTCTCCACTCAGGGCAAAGGCAAAAAGAGATTAAGAGGGGAAATGGAAACCCTGCATTATGTTATTGTTTGACTAATAATAGAAAGAAAATACCAGACCAGGCCGGCCTGACGTCCGTCTGCTGTTTATACCCTTAAGTAGCGGGGCCAAGATCTTTACTGGAGGCAAGCAGGGCTCCTGCGAGTGGGGCAGGAAGTCAGATAAGGCTCCCTAGGCTGACCCGGCTCCGGCTATCTTTTTCACAGGGGAAAAACCGCCGCCTGCCAGCCCTTTGGGGTACTTACTAGCAACCAAAAATAAAAATGCCGGTTCACACCACCCCTTGATCTCGGTCCAGTAAACACGGGCAAAGTCTGCCCTTCTCATGTGATGGGATCCGGGGGTGGGGGTGTGGGTGGTCTCCGCAACAGTCAGTTAACCCCGAGGGGAGCAGCAATGGAGGCTTCCCACTGTCGCCCTGCTGCCCGGCGCAGCCCCCGCCAGAAGGGTTCGGGGGGGGGGAGAGTGGCAAAGCAGAAGGCCCCGCAGCAGGGCCGGCTGCCTAGCAGGAAAGCAGCTCCTGAGGAAGCGGAATGGTGGTTTCTACTGGATAGGCAGCAAGCGGCCGCTTGGCTCCAAAATGAATCTACAGTGGTCCTTGGCAGCTTTTAAACTGCAAGAAGATTCTGCAAGACTGAACACAAACAAAAAACCAGCCCAGTGACCCAGTCCTCATGGAAGCGGCCAAACTACATCTAGGGGCTGCACCAGCTGCACGGGGCTGGGCTGGGGTCCCACAATCCTAAATGCTCCTCCGTAGCCAGGGAACGGGCCAGCCTCACCTCTTCTCTCTGACATGCTGGCTTTCGACGTCAAGGGGAATATGCAAAAACACACACACACCTTCCCCAGCAGGCCCCCCCCCAGAGTGGGAAGGGCCCCCCAGGCCCACCACCTCAGTCAGAAGGCAGCGGGGTCAGTGACAAAGGGAGGGGGGCAACAGCACCTTCGCACAAGTGGCGCAACCCTCCATCAGATAAACATTTCCTGGCAAACAGTCCTAACAAAGAGAAAGGAAGCTGGCGCACGGCCAGGCGGAAATCAGACCTCCCTCCTGCCCGCCCGCCCCTTGGGGCACGAAGGGCTTTGCCACTTACGCTTTTTGCAGAGACGACTCCCTGGACATATTCTGTGCCAGCAAGTTGGTGGCCAAACTGAAGACTTCTTCTGCCCATTCCTAAAGAGATTGAAAGGATTCACACAGAAGACTTCTTCTGCCCATTCCTAAAGAGAAAGAAAGGATTCACTTGTGACATCTGCCCTCAAACCAAGAGCAGGCCAGATCCAGGACACCCTTCAGGGGTGAAGTTCCAGGAGAGCCAAGACAGCAGTTGCATGCACAACCAACGGCCAAAACTTTTTTTGGGGGGGAGGGGGGCAAACCAAACTGGGAATTCATCAATAGTAATATAATATAACTAGGAAAAAGACCCATTGTGGAAATAAATACAACGGCCTCTAGAAAGAGGCTCTGGGCGGGTGCCCCGGCCTTGGACACTCAGTGTCAGTTTGCTGTGGCCACCTCAGCAGGGTATAATGACACTAAGTCCACCATTTTCTCCAGAGGAACTGATCTCTGCTACTTAAAGAACAGTTGTAATTTTGAGTGATCTCCAGCCCTCACCTGGAGATTGGCAACGATGGTTCCCCAGAAGGGAATAGTTGGTTTGGAGGGTGGAGTCTATGGCTTTGTACCTGTCCGAGGTCCCACGCCTCCTGAAACCTCACCCTCTCCAGGCTCCATCCCTCACATCACCAGGAATTTCCCACCTGGAATTGGCAACCCTATCTCCTTCCCAGCCAATCATCAACCTACCTTTATTTCCCCCTCACTCTTCAGCTTTCCACCCCCCCACACACCTGCAGCCTCTCCCGTGCTCTGAAGCCCTGACTGCTACGTCACATTGGCTGTCATACGGGGGCCACCTCAGCAGCATATAAGGATACAGAGCCCACCATTTTCTCCCTGGGGACTGATCTCTGCCGTCTGGAAAGCAGTTGTAATTCTGAGGGATCTCCAGCCCTCACCTGGAGATTGGACACATTATACCTCAGAACAGCAAAACTGTTCAGAATGTTAGAGGCAGAAGCCAATCAAGACGCATATGCAAACGACCTCTGTGTTCCAAGGCGGAGGCCAATGAGGCTGCATATGCAAATAACCTCTGTGTTCTGACTGGCTATGGGGGGGGGGAGAGGAACAGAAAAATGTTTAGAATGTTGGAGGCAGGACTCAGGCAAAGCAGCCAGTGGATAGGGAGACCCTCTGAATGACAGATCAGAGAGCGAACTGATTTTGGAGCGTGTGGAATGTTCTAGAGGAGTGCCACCACCATTCGGCTTTTATTTATAAGGGAGATGTGTTTTATTTCCAGGCCTCTGTGTGAGCTGAGCGGCAGGAAGAAGGGAACGGCCTGGCCTTAAACTGATGAGTAGGAAGACCAGCCGATGTCAGGGCAGCTCAGAGAACAACATTTTAAAAAAGAACTATTAACTCTGTTCATGTTTATACAGTGCTTTTGCAAACTCAGGGCTCCTGACATGCATTTACCTTGTGCACTTTTCACAACAACCCTGCAAACAGCCCAGTGTTATCATCCACATCCCGGCGCCTGTGACCTGTGGGGACTTCCTAATTTGTAGGCTCGGTCTCTTTGCTCTCTATTAACATACACTTAAGTGAATGACACCGTTTTCAGTCCCCTCTTCCCTCAAGCAAGGTAGGCAATGAAGAAATGGGAACGCCACCTCCTTCATGCTCATGGCTTCCAGAAGGACACACAAATCAAAGTAAGACACTTGACATAATTTTATTACATACTTTACAGCAAGCCTACGCCTGTCCGAACAACGTGGAGCTAATGGAACTGACTCCACTGATAAACAGATACTCTTTCTTGCTCTCTACCTGACAGAAATATGGCACGTTAAAAAGAATCAAATTTCCCACTTAGTGGAAGGGAAGGCACATTACTGTGTGCTGACCCCCAAGCCATGTGCGTGAGAAACTCACATATTCAGAAAACACAACAAATTAATGATCTGAGCGTTTAAGGAGCGGGAAGAAGATGGGGAAAAGAAAAGCTCTCATCTGTTCAGCTAATGAGGGGGTTTTTATTTGTTTTTTTGAAAAAAAAGGCCTGATATTAACAAATGCTGAGGGACAAGGCTTTACTTTGGATAATCAAGAATTGACTTATATCCCTTTGGACACCGCGGCCTAACAACCTCCTGAAAAGTCCCTCTGAAGTAGCAGCAGTCACGGATTGCAATTACAAGTTCCCACGCTTTGGAGAATGAAACTGAGCTGAACCGTCGCCCCTCTGCATGTCCTGTGCATTCTTTTGCCACCCTCTCTTTCC